CGCTATCGCCGTCGGTTCATCATCAAACTGCACATCATCAGGCTATACAACAACTTTATGCTTCTCTGGATCCGGCTAGGTAAGATTTAATTATCAATTATACAGGGTGACTTCGAAGTTGAGTCATTTATTTTAACAGTGAGTAGAACTGATCAAGAGAAATGTTTTTTTCCTTTAACATTTTTCTGGTAAAATTAAAGTAACAAAGTTATAGCCCTTTAGAAGTTTGAGTACCGCCCTGTCTCAATAATATGATGTGCTCGTGTTTGGCAACAACGGATATAATCCGCCTTATCGGTTCATCGCATCGGAAACAAAAAAGCGAAAGAATTTCAAACGCTCATCACGATGTTTTTACCACAATTTTATTCAATCAATGTGTCAGTCGGTAACGCGTGAGTGAATAGTGGCTCAAACGAAATAAAAAATGGCACATGTTTACGAAAATGCTTGTGGACATGATTCTTATTCACGGGGGGGAGTCTTTACAAAATGCTGCCGCGGCATCACGGATTTATGCGGATCGGTTTCCCAATCGAGTGCAATCAACCCCTCGTGCCTTTGTTAATGTAGTACAAAGGGCTCGTGAACCAGTTGACTTAAGACCTCGCAGGAGAGGGAATGCCGGTGCTCCAAGACCGCACGATCAAATACAGGTCCGCACTGAAATACTTGTCGGGAGGATACTTTATAAAACAAGGTAACATTTTTTTTAATTTTTTTTTATTTTTACACACATATTTTGGTTTATCTTCCTTCTACAATCATTATCTGAAAATTAATGACTCAACTTCAAAGTCACCCTGTATACATCGTAAAAAATGTCGCACATTTCCGTCGGTCTGTCTGTCTGTCTGTCGGTTAATCCTTGGTCAGTCACTAACTTGATTTGGTACTGCTCGGATTTGGATGAAATTTGGATCCGAGGCACTTATGAAAGCAGGTACCAGACGGCGCAATATGTATATGTATACACATGCATTATTCATGGAGGCTACAAAATTTCGTGATTTAATATTATACAGGGTGGCGCATCGAAAACGAAACAGACGCATTTACTGGCAACTCAGTTTTTTTTTTTTGGAAAAACGCTCAGACCCGTCGATTTTGTTTTCGAGGGGGACACCAACCCTAAAATCTTAAATGGAAAGGGAGGACGAGTGATACCTTATTTTAAAGGTCTTTCAATTCCCTTTATAATGATATAAAATTAATGTACTTCAGTTCAGTAGTTTTGAAGATTTATTGATTTAAAGCTTAAAGTAGACTTTAATAGGTACATCAGATTAGTTTGTACTACTTTCAGAAGAAATTTGACTAAAAGAATTTACTTAATAAGTAAATGCATTTCTTCACTACGCCCATGGTTTGTTTATCATTTTGTTGTTGAAAATAGCTATTGGAGCGTTTTTATGTGGCAAAAAAGTTGTTTCTTGAAGAAAGATAAGGAAATATCTCGTACTTATTTTGAATAGGAATTTAGTACATAGTTTGCGATTGATTTGACCAAACTTTGTTGCTAAAATAACCTGTAACGCTTTATTACATAAATTAACCATGGTATATTCCACAGCAGAAAGAGTTGAAATTATCGAAATATTTTTCGGAAATAATCAGTGCGCTAATAGAACAGCAGAAATACTTAATGAGCGACATGAGAGTAACGTGCATCGAAAATATGTTCTAGAACTTGTAGCTAAATTTCGGGAAACTGGGTCAGTCGCCAATAAAAAACGCAACATTGAAAATCTCATAAGGAACGAAGCAATAGAAGTGGGGGTTTTAGGGCAAGTCTATGTAGATCCTAGGTTAAGTACCCGCAAATTGGAGACTGTGTGTGGTATTAGTCGACATACTGTCCAACGGATTCTAAAGGCCCATAGTTTTCATCCGTATAAAATTCACCTGGTACAAGAACTTAATGAAGACGATTTTGATCGGTGATTACAATTTTGTGAAGATATGAGTGAACGCATTATAAACGATGAACATTTTCTATTCAACACTTGCTTTTCTGACGAATGTTCCTTTTTCTTAAATGGCGTAGTAAATCGTCATAACTGCCGATATTGGTCCGATTGATCGGGGGTACATTGCGAATAGGTTGATGTTCCAACAGGATGGTGCCCCACCACATTACGCATTACGTGATCGACAATATTTAGATCAGACGTTTCCAGATCGATGGATTGGTAGACGAGGTGCCATTGAATGGCCCCCAAGATCGCCAGATTTATCACCTTTGTATTTCTTTATGTGGGGTCATTTAAAAAGCAAAATCTATGCTACTCATCCAACATTATTAGAAGACCTGCGAGAAAGAATTGAATGAGTGCCTTCATATTACTCCTCAAATATTGCAAAATGTGCGGCAACGTTTTGACCAAAATCTTTATTATTGCATGGAGAGTCATGGTGGCCATTTTCAACATTTACTTGCCTAACGGGTCAGTTCATTCTTCATTTTTAAATTACTTTGCTGCCAAATGTATTGATCTCCACTAATGATGATGTATTAGTTTTATTCAAGCTTTAAATCAAGAAATATTCAAAACTACTGAACTGAAGTACATTAATTGTATATCATAAAGGGAATTGAAATACCTTTAAAATAAGGTATCACTCGACCCCCCTTTCCATTTAAGATTTTGGGGGTGGTGTCACCCCCCCTCAGGGGGCTGCAGGTTCTAACGTGATTTTTTGCCAAACTTGTGTCCCCCTCGAAAACAACATCGGGCGGGTCTGAGCGTTTCCCAAAAAAAAAACTGAGCTGCCAGTAAATGCGTCTATTTCGTTTTCGATGCGCCACCCTGTATAGTACAATATATAAATACGCGCTATGATAATCAAATATCAAACATTGCTAAAAAACAATTTTACATCAGAGCTAATAAGTTCGAGAACGGACACGCTCGTTGCTGCAATATGAGGATTTTTTTTCCTGAAAAGCCGAAATACGAGTCCAATAATGTATAATTTACTTTGATATCCCACATCAAATATAGTAAAAAATACGATTTTGGAAAAGTTTTGCTTTTACTTTCCGGAAATACTCTGAACTGCGTAACTTTCTAAGTACCATTTTTTTTTACCTAAATGCAAAACTTTGTCCCTATTTAACCGACTTGAGATCGTTTTGAGTAATACAGAAACTCATTCAGAGGAGGGCTATTCGGCTGATCAATGGCATTTCTCTAACAGACAGTCTCGAGACCCTCTCGCACCGACGGTTCGTCGACGATTTCGCTCTCTTCTATGCTGTATATATCTTTAGCATTTCAAGAATCGAATTAACAATGCGCCATCAAATGCCGTACCGTCAGTCGTACCTACAATTTGTAGGACGCCTTTATGGCCTCCTTGATTTTCATAGTTCTCTACTCTTCCGTATCAGCGCTTTAGTTTGAGGTTATGTCACAAATATCTATTTCCATCAAATTGTTCATGATTTTGGTTTATATCATCTGCCTGAAATTTTCTCCAATTCAAAAAGATAAACTTCACACGATAAAGGCGTCCTACAACAAAATTGTAAGAACGGTTGACGATGCAGCCCTAAGTATTTAGGTTTCTGCCTACGAGCCTGCTTCAGTATAAAAAAAATAATTTCACCACCGTCCGTTTTTTTTAATACCAGACACTATGTTAGTTTCTTCATGAACAGACCAAAACTATAAAACTAGAGTCTTAAAACTCTCACTTGAAATAACGTATAAACTGTTTTTTTTTTCTTGAACAGGTACATCGCTCAATGCCTGCAGGAGTTTGGAGCGGGAGGAGCACCTGGTGCAGGAGGAGGTACTGGTGCCTCAGGTGGTACCGGACACATCAGTGCATTCAAACCTGTTGCACAGACTATCAAAGAGGCTAAGGTATACACTTTGTAAATCATACTAGATAGATAAAATCTTGAAGCAAATTATCACAATCACGGCCAGTCTATGATGCGGACGACTGGAAACCAAAAAAACAAAAAGCGGCACAGCGTAACAGATATCTGATGCCTATCCCCCAATTTTCCAAGTTTCCGACAAAATAATAATGTCAAATTTAGTATTTAGCATATAAAAAAATTCAATAAATCAATTTTTTTATTTACGCTACTCAAATTTGTATGACATATTTTGATATCGTGTGTATTGCTGTTCCTTTTGAAGAATTTACATTAACGATTCCAGTAAAAAATTGGCATTTTTGAGTTTTCACATCAAAATACGTGTGCATTAAATTGTTTCAAATACCAATAAAAGCGAATAAATAATTTCTACATAATCACAAATTCACTATTTGCTTCCAGGCTCGTCAAGCATCTGTATTCGCCCAATACGCCGCTGTAGCTGCAGCTGCAGCAGCCCAACAACAGCAATCCGCGATTGCAGCTGCCGCCGCAGCTGCTGCTATTTCCACCCCTGTCGTGGAACCGCCCCCGCGACTGGAACATCCCGACCGGGTGATACGCGTGCCTCAGGAGGCAGCGCAGGCGTATGATCGATTTGGAGGCGGAGCCACAACAGGCCACGCCCCCGCCTTTCAACCGAACGTCGCATTGGCGCCGCCCCCACACGCCGCACCCACCGTGCTGCTCAACGGAGACAGCCCAGGTGGGGGCGGATTCAGTGCTGGGGGCGGCAGAAGGTGTCAGCATCCAAAGAAACACAGGTTAGTATTGCTTATATCTTAAATTATATGCGCTTGTTCCAAAACGATGTTCATTACCGCCCCGCGACTGAAATGACCCGACCGGGTGGTGCGCGTGCCTCAGGAGGCGGTGCAGGCGTATGATTGATTGATCTCAATTTTACCCAAATACCCGGCATTTTTCAAGCTTTTGTCCAGAATTGGTAATTTAGGTGATGACAACCCTAGTCGTTGTCCTCTGAAAAATCACGCTGGCATTTTTTTGCAGAAAGAGTCTAACGTCCCTGGGCTATAACGAATCCTAATTCCACATCTTGAAAACATTGTCGTTTTTTGACTATATAGGTTTTTTGTGACATTCTGTAGGTTTATCTATAAAATGTCTACTCAGAACTAGCTGTTATTCACTGTTCACTCTGCAGCTGCACGTGTTACCTAAACGTTATCACGCTTCAGCTATCAATATTTGATTCGGCTGCTTCAGAGCATCATTGGAGGTCTAAGCTGTAAGTTGTAGAAATTAGATCCATTTTTTCTTATCCGATTTCAAAAATGAGAGAGATAAAAAAATTCCTTGTTGGTGAAGTATATTACAACCAACAGGTGAGAAGATATGCCAGAGACAGGAATATTTATGAAACGTAAAACATTTATTACCTTTCATATTATTTTTTATTTTCAGACATTTAAATTTTATAGAATAGAATTTATTTTGCGATATGAAGATACAAATCAGCGCCTATGTGGCTGGCTTAATTACACACAACGCGGCGCAGTGCTGATTTCTTGCAATGTCTCTCAGTTTTTAGTAACGCAAAAAGACTTGAGAAAATCGTAATTTATAACTTTGAACATAACCTCTCTTAAGAAAGGACAGCGCCAAAGAACCAACCAACTAATAGATATACTTCATGGGCAGCATATTATATACATCCATGTGTGAACGGAATATTACTCATAAACAAATACATATTGGGAAAATCTATTTATGGGATGTTATACAAGACATTTGAGGTCGCATTTCTAAAATATCTGCCATTATACAGGGTGTCCCAATTTCGACCTACATATCAAAGTAGTGATTTTTCAAATGGAATTCCTCAAATTTTATTGCATATTTGGATAGACCAATTTAAAAGAAGAAAATTGATATAACATACTATGGGGTTTTGGTAATTCGCTACTGAGATATAAGGTGTTTTGTCTGGAAAAACTCCCCACTTCGGCAACCGCGCAGTCCGCCATTTTGGAATTTGGAGTGCTGAATTTTGTATCAAAAAAAACTTACACACCTCAGCTTTTATCTTATTTGTTACTTTTTCGAATATTAATTTTTGTTCATACAACGGGATCAAAAACGCAAATTGTAGTTTTTCTCAATAATTTCGAATCATCCTGTATATTTTTGCAAGTTTGGATTCAATTTTTTATAATCTTTTTTTTGGTACGAGGTTTTATTCTGGTAAAATCACTAGATTTTGAGTTATTAAGCTTTTAATAGAATGACACAAAATCAAGGAAAAAAATCACATCATCCATGGAAACAAAAGACAAACAATGGGCTAGTCCGCTAGTTCCATATTGCCAAGAGTAAGAGGTTTGACGTAAAAACTAATAACAATCAGAACAGTGTAATAGAGAAAAACAGCCATCAAAACATACACAAACAACTATCACTACTCTACCTAATCTACAAAAACTGCTCGAAAATATCTCAACCATGTTGAATACACAGCCGTAGTCTCTGAATAAATGACCGTTGCACATCCCTCAGCATGTGTTCCCTTATGTTCAGAAAATCATCCTTAATCCTTTCCTTCATATTTTCCGGGGTAGATGGTGGATATCTATAAATCTCTTACGCTTAACGTAGCTCCATAGAAAGAAGTCCATCAATGTCATATCTGGTGATCTAGGAGGCCAAGATATAGGCCCATCACGACCGATCCAACGATTGTTACTCCAGGTGCCCAAATAGTTACGCACACGATTATGATAATACGAGATGCAAGGAAATTATTTCTTTGGGCTTCGCCCTAAAACGAACACCATATTCACCATTTCTTCTTTAGAAAAATTTATTTTCAAACACGTTTTTATTATAATGCTCACAAAGCTAATTTTGACAGTTTATTTGTTTCCTATGATTATCCGATATTTTAGTGAATTAAGCCGTTCCATAAAAGACGCTAATAACCGAAAAAATAGCCGTAAAAACCCTTATGCGTCTAGTATCAAAAAACTCTTATACAAAATTGAATCCAAACTTGCACAAATATACAGGGTGTTCCTTAATGATATGCGAATATTTAAGGGTATGTATCTACATGCAAAATTAATGTTAGTTTGCTTTATAAATTATAGTCCAAAAATGTTTCCTTAAAACAGGGGGGGAGTTGAAGTTTTAAGAAAAAAAATGCAAGTTAATTAATATTTTCAGAACCGCTTCAGATATTTCACTGATATTTAGTACGTAGTGAAAGTTAATAAAGTTGCATATTTTTCAATGCAAAACTAATTTTTAGCGTACGGGTATTGACCATTGGCGTACCATTTTTTTCTTAAAAAATATCGAAGTCAATACCCGTACGCACGCCTTTTGTTAAAGCTAAAAATTATTTTTGCATTGAAAAATATGCAACTTTATTAACTTTCACTACGTACTAAATATCAGTGAAATATCTGAAGCGCTTCTGAAAATATTATATAATTTCCGTTTTTTTCCTAAAACTTCAACACCCGGAGTTTTTGTAAGGAAACATTTTTGGACCATAGTTTATAAAGCAAACTAACATTAATTTTTCATGTAGATTCACACCCTTAAATATGCGCATATCATTAAGGAACATCCTGTATAGGGTGATGCATTTGAAATTTTTGAGAAAAAGTACAATTCGCGTTTTTGACCACGCTGTATGAACAAAAATGAACATTCGAAAAAGTGACAAATAAGATAAAAGCTGAGGTGTGTAAGTTTTTTTTGATACAAAATTCAGCACTCCAAATATCAAATTAGCGAATTGAGGAGTTGCCGAAGTGGACGGCTTTTCTGGACAAAACACTTTACATCTCAGTAGCTAATTACCAAAACCCCATAGTATGTTATATCAATCTTCTTCTTTTAAATTAGTCTATCCAAGTATGTAATAAAATTTGGGGCATTTCATTTAAAAAATCACAACTTTGATATGTAGGTCAAAATTGGGACACCGTGTATAATTGCCAATATTTTAGGAATGTCATGTATAATATGCCATAAATAGATTTTCCCAAAATGTATTTGTTTATGAGTAATGTTCCGTCCACACATGGATGGGCTACCCTGTATATATCAATATATATACTCTATAGACTATTTCGGCATTCTGCAACCAACAAAGCATGCTGGGAAAAGCTGGGTGACACCAACACACTACGAGCTATCTAGTCAGCAAGTTTTTTTTTGATATTATGTAGGTTTTTTACGTGATAACCCTGTTACAGTGGTACTACGTAACTAGAAAAGTGGCATGATTTCATTTTCTTGTTTTGAAATTATGTGTCAACTTGGAACTAGCTGTAGTTCACTTTTTGCTAACTTTTTACATAATAACCCAGCCGACCGAGTGTATGGCCGCTCCTAATACTTGACATTTTGCGTTCCAGATACGGTCGAACCTCTGACTATTCGACCTCAACCCCCTCACCGACCAGCCAGCAAGACAGTACGGAGGTACGAACGCCAGAGTCCACCGCTGATTCAATGAAGGAGCCCAGTGAACACAGCGACAAAGAACATCAAGATAAGGAGATGGCAGAGACGCCAGATCAGCCAGATCAGACGGTCAAGGTCGAACCGACTGAACAGATGGATTGCGGCAGTACAATGGTTTCTGTAGTGGTGCATAATAATGGTAATAGCCTGAACCATACGAGGTACAATCCTGAGATAGAGCTGTCCACGGATACTGAGGATAGTGCGTCAGAAAGTTCGGAGAGGGTATCAGTACTGAGCAAAGTCGATGAGGTAAGATTAATTCGAGATATTATATAGCTCCTCAAACTTATCCTGTGGGTTTCATGTTCATAGCACTGCATCGCCGATTCAAAACCACATATATGTTTAGATTTCAGTTTTTTATACGACGTTTTGACAACTTCTGTGGTCTTTTTTAAGAACAATTGACATCCGTGACAGTGGCGGAGTTAGGGGAGACGTATGATACTTCCTTTTGTAATCAAACACCTTTGTGTTACTTTCAGACACATCATGGCAACAGAGGCATACTAACTAGAAGTTATAGCTATAGGAACTGAGCATTGCGATTTTTTGGTGTCCTTTGGTATTCCATCACTTTACAGCACAATTCTTACGATTTATACGTATATACGAGTATTGTGACTTGTGACAAATCTATGTCTGAGTAAATATAGTAGCTAAACAAATTGCACTTAAAAAGTGATTTATGTTCTGTTTGTTGCTCAATAGTAATTTGAAAAGTGTGTAAAGCTCGACTGATCTTGTTAGGGGTTGGTGTTGCAGCGAAGCACGTCGTTATATGAACGTCTTAATTGGAAATGTCAGCTGCACTGATTATCCTTGTAATTAATTCATCGCGCGTTGGTACGGTAGTTTCTTTGTATTTCAAATTTAACCGTCTGAAATCGGAATAAAAAATAAAAAAAATAAAATTCAAATAACTCAAAAACGGTTAACTTCTGGATAGGACATTATAGGACAAAATCGGTTGCTTTTGACCTAATCTATCACCCCTTAACAGGAATACGTGACATTACAAGTATATTATCACAATAAATAAGTTATCTCGAATCCATAACGTTTCCTGTAATGAAAAAACGGCTACGTGGATAGAAATCAGTGGGCTATCATTACATAACTCTGTAATCATTTAGGCGTTCTAAAAATAAAGTTACACAGTATTTTAGAGTAAAATTCCAGCTGTCAATCTACATTCCATTACTGTGTAGGGTATTACGTTACTGTTTTCCTGTTTCACAATCCTGTACTGTTACTACAGTAGTCTGAAAGGTCATGTAAGATGCTGAGATTGCGCGAAGCCATCTTTGCAATTTGCGGCGATAAAGTGTACCCATAGTAACAGGTCTACCTGCTTCTCCGAACAATTTGTGAGCGATTTGACGCGTCGTAGCAAAACGGTCTCGTAAGGCTAGTTGTCTGAAGCGCCTATCTTGATGCTCTGTGGTACGCCTCGGTGAACCAGTTGGCCTTCTTCGTGTTCCTCTATATTCTTCTATCCACACACGATACACACGCATTACCATCATTGCAGTATAATAATTAACACTAGTAAATAAAAGGGCAATAACTAAAAATATCTGTACCTCTCAGCTCTCAGAAACTGCTGTCTTCGCAACAACTAAATGATAACATTTTAACAAAATCAAAGATAAAGCACTGCTGTAAATATAGTTATTATGCTGCTGAAAAAACAAGTTGTAGAAATTATTTTTTCTGGGTGTAACACTTCACTGTAGGTAGCTATAAATCAAACATCTAGGAACGAACAGTAGCTAAAATTGCAGCACTGTGAAAATGTAATGCAAGTTGCGCGTACACTCCACTACGGCGTGACAGACACTTGGCAATAAGTTTCAGAAATTACAGAGCCATTAGAATCAGATGTCCACTCTGGGGGAGGGTTCCAATTTAGGGCACTTTCCACAACCAATTAAATACTATATTTTGTTGCAGTTACTGAAATCCGTAGACTGTACGATTCGACAACGAGTCCTCGGCTGCATAAGACACGTCACACAAGAAGTCAGCCACCTGCAGCACGAAACCCGAACAAAAGACATGCAGATATCAGAGCTAGAAAAGCAGATCAAGGAGCTGAAATCCCAAATGGCAAACGGTACGTCTGAATCAACTGTTGAGAATTCGTGTGCGACGGAAGAGGGCAAGTCCAGCGACGACAACGTAGAGAAAAGGGAGAATGGTTCAAGTGTGATAGCTGCCGTAGAAGATCAGAAAGAATGTGTTATAAGGAAGGCGGCTCAATGATCGGTAATTGTTACTGCTAAAGGGTGCACGTTTTAAAATATAGAGAGGTCGGGGTGTGGTTGTGTTAGAGCGATGAGCGACATATAGAGGTCAAATGAGTTAGATTTTTTTTATAAACAACCTTGCTTTTATCAATTTTTAAAAATGGTTTCTTTTTCTTAAGGTCAACGTCTAGGTCGCGCCACTAATAAAGTTATCAAATCTCCCAAGCATGCAAGTTGGCTGTCAATTTACTAATACCATCAAATATACAAAACGAGATCGAAAGTTAATAGCAGTACTTCAAAACAACGTTTTGTTTTAGTAACACGTCTAAGTTGCTTGAGTGGAAATTTTGGCACTTTCCGTGACAGTTAATTGCAAAATAGGTGAATTCGCAAATAAAACCATGACTCGAGCCTTCCTCGGATATTAATTAGCAAGTGTACAAATAGTTACGACTCTCCGTATTGTTATTGGGAACTAAAAGATCATCACAGGTTGTAGATTTTTCCGATTTTTAAGCCTGTAGGTAATTTGAAAGGTACACTACTTAGATTTTTTATATTTCTCTGATAACTATTATAACTTGGCCTATCCCTCGATTCGGCGTGACATCGTCTTCTAGGACACCCTGCATAAAAGAGGAGTGATCATATCATCGTAGATTTCTAAGCTATTTGACCTATGAACATGAACTTTGATAAGGAGGTAGTTTATGGACAGGGCGTTCCAGTTAAGAACGGTTTTTACAACAGGGCCCGATTCACGGAGCTAATGGCAAATATATATAAACGCGAAAATATACTCATTTATCACGAAATCTGGGAAACTATTTGAATTTGGGTAGGGAGGGGCTTATTTACGGGACATTTTAGCTAAGAACGGATTTTATGCCAGGGCTGGATAAAGGGATTAAGTTAGTTCGAAATTGCTTGGACTTTTCTAATATCTAAAAAATGGCACCATGAAAGTCTGTTTAGAGAAGACTTAAACTAAGAAGGGAACAGAAATTGAAGACTCATTATAATTATGTATTCATTTCTTCCAACTTGCAATGCGGAACGATATCCTTATATTTACATATCGCTTTTCAGAACTTGAGACCTTGTTCTATAGTAGATAATCTAAACAACGTTCAAAATTATTTGAAATCCTTAAATCACCATTTCAATAATTCTCCCACTCGAATCACATTTTTAATTTTGTATCTCCAGTTTTATTTGAAGCGAAATTCGGAAAAACTGACAACAGGCTCAACATGCTAACATGAACACACCTTTGATTTGAACGAGTGATCGCTGAAAAACGACAATATACGCTTTTTGGATTTCTATTGGATGTATAGATTGCTTAACTTGTTGAATTTCATGGTTACTTTTTGGCGGAATTTTTCAACTAGATGTAATTCTTTCAAGCAATAAATTGCTCGATTCTCATTTTTCTAATGTCTATAGCATAATGAACATTTTATTGTCAAGTTCCAAAAGTCGGAGATCGTGAAAAATACACAGATCCTCAAAAAATAGAAAATGGTATGTGTTAACCGCCCCTCTCTATTTTAGCTATGCACTGTTTTCTCACTGAATACGAATTATGTCAGAATTGGGGGATGATGTACAAATTTTAGACAAAACCTATAAAATTACACAGGACAACAAAAAAAAGTAAAATTGGTATGTGCTGGGCGTCTTACTATATTTTTTCCATGAGCTTTTTCTCTCTGAACATGCATTTGAAGTCAAATTTGGGGGTGCATGGATAAATATGAAAGTATCTTTGAAATGTTGGTAGAAGCGGATATCTGGTAAACAATGCACATACACTACTTGTATTTTATACTGAAGCAATCGCGTAAGAATGTTCGATGTTACAAAGAGAAACATACAAAAATGGAAAAAATCAAAGCGAAATCCATCACACAGATCATTCGCGGACAAACATAAGTGGAAACGACGAACAATAATTATAATATAAAAAAATTATTAGATTAACACTTTTTTATTGTCCGTCGGCCCCAAATTTTCATTTCAGATTTGTGTTCGGCAAGAAAAATTGCATGTGAAACGTATAGTGGAACACCCAGTACATACCACCTTTTTATTTTTTGATGACCTGTGATACTCTTCAAGAGATACAGATTGGTTTGGAAGGTAGGTTTGTCACCCCACTTGATTCAGAGTATAGAGAATTGAAGATTTCGTAAATTGTTACTATTGAAAGATGTATTTTATGACAATAAACAATATACTATAGACATTGCAGAACATTTCAGATGCTTCAAAAATGAGAACATAATGCACATTGTGAACTATTTTTCTAATCTACATGCGAACCTGTTTGATGAATATTGTATCCACATTTGATGAAGTACTTTGATCCGTTTTTATATAAACGGTAATCTTTTTGTAAAAATTTTGAGAATGTAAATTGTAGAATTGATTTTTATTGGACAGAATCGGTAATACTCCACTCAATGAGTGCATACGAACGTATATGTAAATATTTTTATAACCACGTATTGGTGATACCTGCTTAAAAAACAACTTTGAAATTTGTTTGGGATATTAAACTAGTCGTCAAATGATAGTAACGTTTTTGTCAAATTACTGTCAAGTATAAGAACATGCAAATGTTCCCTGTTACATTCAAATCGTTTCCAAAACCGAGGGCAAAAATTCAAGTGTTGATAGTTTGGACTATACTAGGACATCTCAGGAGAAACCTAGTTAATTTGGTAGAGTAAAAGCTTCGGTTGTAATTTTTGTACCTAGTCATTTCGAACGGTTTTGATTGATGAAGAAATTCACATGCGGATTATGGTAAGAAATAGATATTAAGCAGCCTGAATTTTTGCCCATTATCGAGAAACATCCTGTTTAATATAAATAGTATGTCACCTTATCTTGCAGGCATTTTATAAACGTCAATATGTAATTTTCCCCAAGTTTTGATGACTAGTTTATCAAGACTTATAGCTGTTAGTACATTGTGATATACATACCTTACACATTGTTTTTATACACGATTACCTGCCAGAAGACGTTCATTTTGTAGAACGTTGTCAATTATACAGGACAGAAAGACGATTGCTTCAAAAATTGCTGATAAGAACCTATTTCAAGTAATATCGAACTCACATTTTAGTAATATCAAGAATTTTTGTTTGCGTAAAACTATATAGCAATAATACACATATTCAGCAATCTCTTTACAAACTTTTACATTTTTATGAAAACTTCTTATACGCAATAGAAGTTGAAGTTATCAAGGTTTGATATGCTCCTAATATCGCCTCAGTTTTTCATTGTTCAAATTGATAAGATAATTTGAGCCTTTCTTGGGGAATTTTTGAAAAAAAGTGTTTATTGTAACATCTGAAACTCATGTGATTGTCTGGCTGATGAATCTCAATATTTCAGTGGCCGCCAGGTGAGGACTTGAAATATTGACTAACGTTTCGGTCACTATGGTGATCTTTCTCAGTAACAATGACAATATGGGAGACTAGCGAGCAAAAACAAGCCAACTGATGGTTAAGGCCCAGATGGCCGAACGTCAGTAAATTTTTCAATCCTGCATCTGTGGTTTGGCGGCCAGTGAAACGAGGAGATTTGTTCCTCCAACCTCTCATTCATGATGCCACCACTTTCTAGGTGTGCTAAACCAACTCTGCAAACTTATGCTTCACATTCCAACTTTGTCATTTTCTGTATGTGTATACACGCAGCTTGATTATGCAAAAACCTTTCCTTGCCAAACCGAAACATCATTTCTGTCCCTGATCGTAAATATTCCAAGGTGATATAAAGGAGCTCGAAAATCTCCATTTTTGTCCTGTGTTGTCTCCAGGACTGGCTTGTAATTTTTTCTTCTTTTATTGTTTCGGTAGTCCGACTTTGAAATTGGAGGGAATTATGTACATTTTTTGTATCATATGAAAAGGAATGAATAAACAGATGGACGTATTCTATATTATACAAAGTAGCCTTAGTCGTGCTATATTTTAATGGGCGCTTGTGTACATTTTGCAAAATCTTGTCTACAGGTTGTTTCAATAGTAAGATAACATACTTAAGTTGGCGATTATTGGGTTCATTTTAAGAAAAAACCTAATTGTGAACGTATGTCCACTCATCTTAAATTTTGGGATATTAGGAAATTGATTTTAAGGGAACCATGGCACGCCACTGCTTTTTCTAGTAACAAACATTTTTATAATATCACTATAATTCGCTAGAAATAAAGTCAAGGCGTATTTGCTCAGAAGTCAATAATATATATTATTCATATTTTTTGTTACGTGAAAATTCAGTGACGGTTAAATTATTCAGCTCCAATCCCGCACAAACCCCACTGGAAAATATAAAATAAATGAAATTGTTGTAGATCATAAAAAGATTTTTTTTAAAGCTTCACCACCCTGTTTCTCAAAAGTCAAGACGTACAGGGCACACGTTCATAGTTTTTTTGTTTAAAGCGGACCCAATAATCAAAAATATTTTAAATTACCGTTGGAGCACTCTGTATTTGTATGATATATGGACAAATTGATGCGGATTCAAAAAGAGTGTAGTTTGTTAGATTTCTTCTCAGAATCGTTCTTGTTATGATTGTTTTAATTTATCATTATTAAATATTGTTACTCGGTAATATTTTTTATGAATTTAAAAGTACAAAATGTGGTGCAAAGCACTGTTATATATAAATATTTTAAGTATGTATTATATATTCTCGTATATAAGATAGTAACCATTTTCTTTTGAACCTGATCGTTTTGTTATAGTCCAATCATTTGAGAGTCTTTTCTGGAAAGTTTTCCGCGAATTTTGTAAATTAGTACCTTTATATGTTTGAGGAAATGTTCACTTTGCAGGCTCATATCTTCATCGCTTGTATCGCCATCTTAATAAAATGGTGTTTTGCATATACGCATTGTTATAAAGTATCTAGCCAAACTTCAAGGGTGATCTAAGATACACAAAACAATGCTAAATATATAAATTTTAATTGTAGGAGCCTGTTTGACTGACTTGATTCGTAGCTAACTTTTTCCTCAGAAAGGCTAACTTGTGCTGAACATAAACCTTTACGAACTGAACGAAACATTTTTTTCCTTAAGACAATTTTGTTAAAATTTGATAGCACTATATATAAGAGTCATTTCGCAACATGGTAAAAGAAGCATCACTTTACAAGGTAGCAAAGCAAAACTTTGAAAAAACTAGAAATACTGATTTTAAAAACTAACGAAGAACATTCCAAGCAACCTTTCTGACGGCCAAATGTCTGGACTATTTGGTTTCTTATTCAAGGATGTGATTGAACATAGGATATAGCTTTTTCTTTTTGTACAGTCCGTGATTGCATTTTTAACGGTGACCAAATGATATGAAATTTGAACTCAGGTATTAAGAAACACAATCAAATATTTTGTATATAGCATTAAAAAATGGAAAATTAATGAAAAAATCATGCGCTCTCCGTATATGACGCATATCACAGTTTCTTATAAACAGTTGTGTTAAAAATGCAATAGTGTTAAATGTAAAGGCCCATTCTCCCAGTCTGATGTAGTGAGTATATTGATGATTTTTATAAGACAAACAGTTTAATATATTATCCATATTTGTATTCAAACTGTAGAAAGACTTTATGATTTATCAGAACTTTGACATATGGAACAACCTCAAACTTCCTCCATTGACATCGGATACGTTTGACCTTGACCTTAGGTCTAACTGACTGAAGGCAAGGTCAAACATGTTGATATAACTTGACATCTTCTAACTTTTTTACCTGTCCACAGAAAAAAATATTTTATACAATAGTTGTATGGTCTAATATAAAGTTTTTCAATATGTATTTTATATACAGGGTGACTCAGAAAAGTGCTACCGAATAAAGTTGTGTTTTTTCAAATGGAACAGATTGATAGTCGCTTTTTTTCTGATTCCAAATATATATGATTTGTTATAGAGTTTTACTAGTTTGGTCAAAAACTTTAAATTTCGTGTGTCATTTATTCATGTATATCCGGGTACAAGCTAATTTGGATCTAGCTACAATATGCAATCTGGCATTTAAGTTTTTGACTGAACTAACGAAAAGAAGTATATAAACCATATTTATTTGGAATCGGAAAAAAACGATCATTTCCACTAAAAATATACAGGGTGTTCCATTCGAGAAGTACCACTCTATTCGATAGCCCTTTTTTGGACATTATGTACACAAAAAAGGTATTGCCAGAAAAGCCTTATATTAGACTACAACTACAACTTTTTTCATGCAAAAAAGTTAAGAGGTTGTCAATTTATCCCAGGGACAATTTCATGAGGCGTAGGTCAAATTGAAATACGTTCAAGATCAATTCAACGTTGTCCTAAAAGTTCTACACAACATAAAAGTCCAACTACTTCAATTTATCGTTTTCAGCTTGCTAATTTTTATTTCTGTGTGATACTTTTTCGGAATTTCAGTTTTGGATGGAATATTTTCTACATGTCCATCAATTGGAATTTTTGTGATAAGATTGTCGAACCGTTTTATACTCAAAGGAAATACATTTTTGTGTGCTATTGGAAAACACGTGAGAAGCACTGTTAATATACTGTGGACAGATTGATTTTAGCTTTTAAGCCTTCGAGCATATATAAAAATATTCCAACAATACACCATTCCGAGAACTTGGTATAAAGTAATTCGCGATCTCTGGAAATACGAATTTAAATGTAAAACAGAGGAGGTGGCTCGTGCACCGCCGTTTACAACATCATGGAACGGTAAATCGACGCGTACTGTTTTAGGTGTTCGCCCTCGTGCAGTTTTGTACTACGTTAAAGAATAATCAACTCCGAAAACATTCAAAAGTTTATGTTTTACGCTCTCAAATTTTCCACTTTCAGTTGTTCCTGCACCCGAAAACATTTAAGGTGTTTATCACTGACATAATAGCAGCTTGATGTCAAAATTGTGTTATAACCCGAGCAGGTAATATTGAACTAGGAATGGAGAACCTCGTAGTATTTTCGCTGAAATAATATTTAGACCCGACTCAAAACAGTCAGCCCTGAAAACACAGCCAGAGACGGTGTCGCATCGGTAGCTGGGAAATTATTGGTGCTCTATGTGCTGTCGCAGTAAAACCCTAGAAAATTTCGTTTTTATCTGATAAGCAACAATGTATTTCCTTAAGGTGGCTTTACCCATTTATCCTCTCTCAGTATTTTGAACAGTTCAATCTTACCTTAAAACATTGCGGCAGCTTTGAGTAAATTAACAGAAAGAAAATTGTACAAAAATTTGTCGTTTTTTAGTGTGGCATTCCAGAACCGTTCCGTTTATTTTTGTGTGTTGACAAAATTCAAAATTGTTCCTAAATGTGTATAATAAACTTTGAACTGCCAGTTTGCAAGCTGATTAGCAATATTTTATCGAATGGTTTTGAAACGCCCGCTATCCGAAAAAAAACTGATTGTTAAATTTGTTATTGGATTATATATTTTGTGATCTCAAAATATGTAAGAATGCTGTTGAATGTAGGTTTAAGCTAGATAGGATTGCGTGTGTTAAACTTTAGCTATTATTAATGTACACAAATTATTTCATAAATATATATTTCTGAACTTTATGTGTCAACAGATAAAATGCATTAATTTATAAATAAAGTCTTTTTTCTAAACTTTTGTTTCACTGTGAAATATTCCACAAATACGCTACCTATGTGATATGTGTACAGAGTGTTCATTTAAAAACTTCCCACTACGGATTTAGTCACGTCAAAAGATCTTTGAAGAGGGACAACTTTTTAACCAAAAACTACTTCACCCCTTTTACCCTCGCCCCCCTTAAGAAGTGCTTTATTTTGACGTTTAACTTTCCAAAATCAGTGGATTCATTTTCGAGGAAATTAGAAAAACCTTTATTTATATTAATTTGCTCAGATAGAAATCAAAAACACACGAAAATATCACTTTTTATTTCAATAATTCGTTTATAATTTAAAACGGAAACTACCAACATAAACAGCAATTTGGAAGGTTAGACGTGGCAACAACCAATAACAGCGAACTGTATTTATTGTTATACCTGTTTAGTTATTTGCTAAAGAAAAGAAAGAATTTAATTTGCTGTCAGTTACCTTTGCGACAATCTTGGGATAGTGAAAACTAATTTATTGATTCAGATTTTACTTCCAAAATGGTTTACACACTAGCCGAAAAAATCGAAATGATTATAATTTATGGTGCTCAAATTGCAAATTGCCGACACGTTTAACGCCAGAAACCGGGGAAGATAACTTCGCATAGGTATGTTTTGGACCTTTAAATTTACTCAAACTGGATCTGTTGCAAATAAAAAACTTGATCATCGGAGAGTTTTGGATGAAGCCGCTCAAGTTGAAGCTTCGGGTCATTTTGGAATAAATCTTAATGCTACATTACGCAATATTGTTGCTGCGACTCGTATTTCATTAGGCTCTGTACACAGTTACTAAAATCCAAAACTTTCATCCATTCAAAATGAAAATATTGCATGAGTTAGCGAAGATGATTTCGATAAGCGAGTTGAGTTTTGTGAACAAATGACTGCAGCGATTTGTGATAATACCATTCGTGTAAAGAATATCTGCTTCAGTGATGAATGCACATTTTATCTTAAAGGATTTGTTAATACGCATATTGGAACAATGAAAATCCTAATGCTTTTATAGAAGGGCATACCCAGTACCCTCAAAAAATTAATGTATGTAACAGCAGAAGAGGTCATGGCTTTATACCTAAGAATATGACTTTTGACGGTTTGGATATAAGTGAGCCTCAAGATATTCTAAACAGCTTTGCTGACTTATTCAGTAAATCTTTTATTGCTAGCTCAAGTGGCAAAACCAACTCCACTCAGTCAACTGGAAGTAGTCCTTTAACAGTGACTGAATTTAATGTGAATGAGGTTTATGATGCCTAAATTAACTTCTGGTCCAGATGGCATTCCGGCTTTTATATTGAAAGACTGTGCATCTGTATTTGCGAAGCCTTTAGCAACGATATTCAACTTATCGCTGCAAAATGGTAAATATCCATCATCGTGGAAAGTGTCAAAAGTTTCTCCTGTTTTTAAAAATAAGGGTAACAAGAGCGATATTGAGAATTATAGACAAATCACGATAATTAACAACTTTTCAAAGGTTTTTGAGTTTCTTATATATGATGAAGTTTACTGGCATGTGCATAATACTTTATCAACTCAACAACATGGCTTCATGAAAAAACGATCAACTGTGACAAACGTATTCTGCACTACTCAGTATACAGGGTGACTTCGAAGTTGAGTCATTTATTTTAACAGTGACTGATCAAAAAAATGTTTTTTCCTTTACCATTTTTCTGGTAAAATTAAAGTAACAAAGTTATAGCCCTTTGGAAGTTTGAGTACCGCCCTGTCTCAATAATAATATTATGTGCTCGTGTTTGGCAACAACGGATATAATCCGCCTTATCGGTTCATCGCATCGGAAACAAAAAAGCGAAAGAATTTGGAACGATGTTTTTACAATTATTTTATTCAGTGGTATACACTTATACAGTCAGTGTCAGTCGGTAACGCGTGAGTGAATAGTGGTGTCTGTTGCGTGGCTCAAACGAAATCAAAAATGGCACATGTTTATGCGGATCGGTTTCCCAATCGAGTGCAACCAACCCCTCGTGCCTTTGTTAATGTAGTACAACGGGCTCGTGAATCAGGTGACTTAAGACCTCACAGGGGACGGCATGCCGGTGCTCCAAGACCTCACGATCAGATACAGGTCCGCACTGAAATACTTGTCGGGAGGATACTTTATAAAACAAGGTAAATTTTTTTTTTAATTTTTTTTTATTGTTACACACATATTTTGGTTTATCTTCCTTCTACAATCATTATCTGAAAATTAATGACTCAACTTCAAAGTCACCCTGTATATCTGGAAATATAGATTCTCGTACTCAAGTTGACGTCATTTATACTGATTTCTCAAAGGCCTTTGACCGAGTAGATCACGACATTCTTCTTGACAATTTAGCTGACTTTGGAGTCTCTCAAGTCATCTCAAGTCATCGTTGGTTGTCAGAGCGGTCCGTGGGACCTTAGCTCTTGAGTCACAGTGTCAGTTTGTAAGTCTGTCAGGTCTGGTAACCCAGAAACCAGACAATTTTAAGGAAAAAAGGGGAAGGAAAGGAGAGAAGGAAGAACGAGAGCAAAGGGGAAGAAGAGAATCTTTTAGGATATGCAGCGTTTAGGCATTGTTAAAATCGCTTCACAGATTTTGATATGGTCTAAAAATATTTGATTTTTTTTTTCTAAAGATTGTGTAAAAATGCTCAAATTTTGGTTGTTCTAAGTTCACGAGTTAATTTTGATTACAGTGCGAGCCGCGGCCTTTTGTGCTTGCGAACTTGCTCGACTGTGTAGTCCACTGAATCACGCAACAGAGGGTTGCTGTGCGATTCCGCTAGGCTATAGCGCCGCTGCGCCTGTTGCTTAATGTAGTCCTTTAGGTAAGGGACATCGAGGTCTCTATGTAGAGTTTCGTTAGAGACATACCATGGGGCATCAGCAATAGTGCGCAACGTCCTGCTTTGCAGAACCTGCAGACTTCGCATGTGTGTTTTAGCAATAAAACACCAAGCCGCACATGCGTATGTCATTGCAGTGTGTCAAAATAGATAACGTGACCAGTCATTATAAAGACGTATGCTATGGGATCCCACAAGGAACTGTTCTTGGGCCAATATTATTTAATATATATATTAATGATTTGTTCTCAATGGATTCGGGAGGTACAGTGTTAGGATTCGCGGACGATACTGTCATAATTTATGAAGACTCAAGTTGGCCCGCACTTAAAAATAAAATCGAAAATAATCTCACTAACGTACTAGCATATTTCAACACTAAGCTACTCACAGTTAACTCTGAGAAAACTAGTTTTGTACCTTTCGCATCCTATAGAAACCATATGCCACAATATAATGAAATAAATGTCAGAATAGGAAACTATACGACAACCATTAAACGTCAAAGCAGCACTAAATATCTGGGAATATATATTGATCAAAATCTCAGATGGGATGTTCAAATCGAATATGTGACAAAGAAAATAAGATGCCTCATTCCAAAATTCAAATGTCTTAGAAACATCCTTAATACAGATTGCATGAGAATCTTATACTTCGCACTTGTGCAGTCACATCTTTGCTATGGAATACTTGGCTGGGGAGGAGCTGGCTTCACTTACATAAAGAACTTGGAGATTGCCCAAAAATATTTATTAAAAATTCTTTATAGCAAGAGCAAAACTCATCCATCTGATGAGCTATACCATGAGTCTGGAATTATGGACATTAGGCAAACCTTTATTTATAATTGCATGGTATACTACTTTAAAAATAAATCATTTCATGAGGAAATCGCTCACAAATATGACACTCGCCAGAAAGTTGCTAGGCACATAATGGTACCTAGGCCGGAAAAGTCATTATTGCAACGCTCCTGGATTTATCTCTGCCCCAAATTGTACAACGAAATGCCTGCTGATTATAAGTTAATACGAAACATTGCTTTATTCAAGAAAAAAATCTCAGTCTGGGTGAAAGGTATATCCAGGAGCATAATACATGATTATATAGAAGGCAAAACACTATATATGTCACTCTCACAATCCAAATGAAATCACCGTTTTTTAGAATAATTGCTCCATTCTATTAATTTATTATTTTATCATATTTTATTGTACGTTATTATATTTTATTAGATTTTATTATGTTTTATTGTAGTCACTTATATGCTTATACCGTATCTCATGTATGATGGGCATTTAATTTTATTCTATTCTATGCTTGATATATCCTTGTCTATATTGCCCACAACACAAATGCAACTACCAGTTTTGTAATGTCATTTTAGTTTTTATTGTCCTTTATCTTAGATGTACTCTTTTTTAGTTTAGCCTTTTGATTTATGTTATTTGTTATTGAATTTAGTTAAAGTGCCACAATGTCAGTTCAAGGTTTTCGCATTTCTACCAGTGATCGTGTAACACCAAATTGTGTCAGTGCGTGCGTAAGAAGTGCATAGTGCATTAGCAAGTACTTGATAGACTTTATTTATATCTGCGGATAGACAACTGACAATAATGGGATGGCCACACACAAGATTTTTCTTTCGTGGCATTACTTTTATTTGTCATTGATACTCCTTTGTGGCAACAGTCTTTGAAAATTTATATTTACATAATTGAATTTGACAAATAAATTATTATTATTATTATTATTATTATTATATGACCACCTTATAGAGTCGAATCTTGTTAATCAAACTTAATTTTGACCGTTTAGATAATAATGGGTAAAGCTGCCGAAACGTAATTTGGAATTTAGTTTTTAGCGCTTCCATATGGTTCCGCCAAGTCATCGCTTTGTCCAGAATGACACCGAGATACTTAGCGGAGGATCCCCATGGTATACGAAGTCCATTCATTGAAACTTCAGACGGAACGCCGCGACGTCTTTTTGTACAGTAGATTGCCTGCGTTTTCGAATGGTTTATTTTAATTAGCCACCGATCCGCCCAATCTAATACTTCTTCCACCGCACTTTGCAGCCTGTCATGGACTAGGTCACCAGACCACGACTGAGCCACCAATGC